GACTACGATGCCGGCGAAACGTTTGGGAATGTACCGCGTCCACGGTCCGACTTTGGAAATAATTATGCATGAAATGGAAGCCGACTACGATGTCGGCGAAACGTTTGGGAATGTACCACGTCCACGGTCTGACTTTGGAAATAATTATGCATAAAATGGACTGGGCGAAACGTCTGGGAATGTACCGCTTCCACGGTCCGACTCTGGAAATAATTATGCATACAATGGACTCACGGAAAAGGTGCGTTCCTATAAGTCTTCCTACCAATATGACCAAGTTGCGAAAACAAGGTCAAACAACTTCTATAAAAAAAATACTATCAAACGCATTTATCGAGTTCATTCATTGGGAAGTGGTCCGAAAGTTGGTGACCGTAAGATGGCTGCTACTCACATGGGTTATACTAGTGTGCATTCAAAGTCATGGAAGTACATTTGGACCGAAAGAAGGAAAATTGATTGCCTACTCTTAAAATTTAGTTGTTGTCAATAATTTATTATTATTATTATTATTATTATTATTATTATTATTATTATTAATTCCTAATTTGGCGCTACCATCTCTTTTGAATAGCAACATTTTTATGTAAATGAAATACAAGAAAAACCATAAAAATGGTGATTCCTTGCATGGCAATTGAAAATTGCGCGTAGTTTCAAACGCCACTGTCTCACTCACAAGAACCCATGTTCAGCCCGACTGCCTCAGAAAAAATCTTCCCCATTCAAGTCAAATGACCTACTAGTTCATATCACCAGCACAGTCCTCGTTCGCTACAATTTCCGTTGCAATGTTAGTATCCCTTAGATAGAAGCTTACATTCTAGTTGCCCTCGTGAAAAGTAGAGGAAAATATGTAGCCCTTGGACGCCGAGTATGCTTTGCCACGCCTAAGATAAACTAGTCTTGACGATGCTAAGGCAATTCACTTCCTTGATCAGCGACCAAATTTGCTTTATATATTTCTACATCACATCCCACACAAGCGAGATTTTACTGAATTCCAGAAAACGTCATATATGCCTACACTCACTAGTAAATTTAACATATTCTCTCATTTTATAAAGGGGCAGGCAAGCACGAGTTGCCCTGAAGGCTTTTTACCCAAAGAGCCCTTAGGCTATGATTATTACGCTCATATATTTGCATGTATCCGTGGTTATTTACCTATCACTATGTTGACACACCTGTCTATCTCCTTCATGGTATACTTCTAGGCATTATAGGCTGGAAGTGGTGAATATGAAATCAAAGAGGACAGAGAAGCTGACTATTGTCAGGGGCTCTTTAGTTTCAGCGCAACATAGGCAGAAGCAGGGCCGCACTTTAGGCCGAAAGCAATGGTCAAGTTGCTAAAAGCTTTTTTTTTCCCGAGTAACTTAACAACCGCCATTAAGCAACGCAACGAATCCTCAATCGGTTCTGATTAGATCATGATAAAGATGGAATGTGAGTAAAATTTTGTGCATGCATTCAATTTGTTGATTTGATGCAGGAAGTTGATTGGATTTCTTAACTAAATGTAATTCTACCTTTTCAAACAGCAAAACAGATATTATGGAATTTATAGTTTGGGAAGCAAGCTGTAGGGAGTTTCACTTTCGAAATCTATCATGCTGCGATACCACATTCGCAGACCATTTATACGTCGAAGCATGCCTTAGTAACCCATTTGGGTTCGCGATCTTAGTTTCAATATTTCATGCCGCATTTGGGACAGAAAAGCGGTCTTACTGTAAAAGCGGTAAAACCTGTGAAGTGTATAAACAAGTAGTGAAGTGAAATCGTGTTTCACAAATAGCCGGGCTGGCTGGGAATTCGGAGGCCTGGCTGGCTCAAAGACCGGCGCAACCACAGAACGACTCATCTGCTGGGAGCACCATATCTTGGCAATTCTCATCAAGTAAAGTTTGCTTCAAGTCGACCTCAGCCTGGCGCGAGTTCTCCCCGTTGCCAGGACCCCTTCAGACTGAGGCACCAAGAGCTGGCCTGCTTTTGCAACCGACGGCCAGGGCTGATGAGCTCTGAGGTGGTAGCAGATGCCCGACGACTTTCGATGCCGTGGTCCAGTGTACTGGTGTTGGTGCTGCCTTCTGTCAAGGTGCCAGTCGCACCGTCGAAGTGTGGACAGGCCATGAGGAAGCAAACTCCTGCCCCAAGCGCCGTTGAGGTCATCAACAGAATCAGCCGATTGCCGAAGAAGCGTGCATGGGCTGCATGAAGCAGACCGCTGCAGGATCGGCTTATCCGACCTCCCATCTGTAGAGCGGCTAAAAGATTTCGAGAGATGTTTTGTTCTGGCGACCTTGTCTCCAGCTCGCCTGACGATGTCAACCTGGCAAACATGTCATTTCCGATGCACTCCAGGAAATGCAATGTCCATGCATGTACAGCTTTATTAATGGCATTATTTTTCCCTTCTGAATTCGTCCGCAAAACCTCCTTCTTCACCCTTTTGAGGATCCTGTTGCCTGCATTCACGCTGGATGCTATTCCAAACGATGCTTCACCTGCATCAGATCCTGACCAATTCGGAGTCATTTCTGGCCAATTTTTCGGAACTTCTGGAATTCTTATCACGTCATTTAGGAATCCACTGGCAACACATTCGTGCAGATAAAGCATGTAAGCGAGCAAACGGAGTCCGGGCTCTTCTCTGGGAAGCTTGTGAGGGCTCTCGAGGGCAAGGGCAGTATGCGCACTGTAGAGGCGGAATAGGCTGAATGTGCTGTTCAGGGTATTCTGTTCTTGATGCATGTAAAGGTTAGTTTCGAGACAGAGCATGCAGATCTGAAAGTGAACAAGTCATAAAGATGATATTGACTTTATATATTGTCCTTCTTAAAACCAACAATATCAGCAGCATTTGTATATAAACGTATATTTTATAAGACTTTGGCCTCAAGTTTCAGAAATCATAAAAAATCATAGTCAGATCTTGTATGTTTACCTATAGACGGTGTTATTTTTCTTAATTTGAAAAGTATTCATTACCAGAACCAGGAGCAAAGAGTTCCTTTCAAGTTCCAATTAAATACATGTCGTATGAGACAGATAATAAGTAGAGGAATCATCTTCTTGAGAGCTGAGTTAAACTTGAAAGTAATGATTCAATTCACTAAATTAACTACCCTCTCTTTATTCCTTGTTTTCTTTTTACTCATGAAGTACAGATAGGGCTTGGGGGGAAGATAGTTTCAGCACAACTTGTATAATACCCGATATTCTTTGCAAAATTTTAATGTAATTTTCTCAAATTAAATATATGTCTAGCTGAATACAATCCCCCAGATTATATTTTGAAAGTACCCATCATACGTGACGATGCTAGAGACTGAGGTTGTTTGGTTAAATTAGTCCAATTAACCCAAGATTACCTCATCATCTGTTTATGAGGCTCCGGGTTGAAAGTGTTCAAAAGGTAGACATTTCACTGATTGGATAAGAGTACTGGTTGGGACCTTATGAAATTAAACTGCCCAGAATGGAAGGGCAAATGTATGTACTTTCATCTTGTATGATATTAGCCAACTCTCGATTCTCTAGCACTGCATACAAGCAAATCGGTCAGGCGATAATCGCCAAGACATGCTCCGTACTATCTACTGAACAATCTGCCTTTATTCTATGCTGGCGAACCAAGAGTCGGCTAATAGCATACGAGATGAGAATACGTCAATTTGCAGCTCCTTCCCGGGTAGCCTATTTAGGAGTAGATGCCTCTGTGCAGAGAGCTGCTTCCTCCTTTGTTTGCCCGCCCACATCTGTATCGCTTTCTGCCCTGTTAGGTTGCATGTGATCACCACTTATATGCAGTTAGAGAGCACTCAGATACCGAGATTGCATGGGATGGATACAATTGTTTGCTGTCGTCTCAAGACAATTCCCTTACGATAATGCTTTGGCAAATATGTTTTAGGAAGGTTCTTCTAAATTATCCAGCCCAAACTTTCATAGGTATAATGCTAAAATAGTGGGATCTATTCAGCCTATTTTGTTGAGGTGAAGAAAGATTAGTAGCTGAATTTTGCCGCAATCATGATTCCATTGGATTTTAGATAGTTTTACTTCCCCAAAGGTATTCTCACTCAGACAGGAGTGGAGCTTAGTTTCAACCTCGCCTTGGTCTCCTTAGCACCCCCGGCGGGACTCGAACCGCGATAGGACAGCGTATAATCTCGATATGTTGACCATTATGCCACATTCGCATTTTGCCACACATTTTGCGGTGGGATTTTTGATAAAGAAAAGTTGCATTTTCTGTGGCAATTTATTAGTTTACTTTGTCTTCGTAGCTATGAAGACCAAGATGGTGTTTGGTCGCAGTCTCTTTTAGCTTTATATTGTTGGTTCGACCTTGGTCGGAGCGTCATGGAGACCTTGTGGAACGTACTTAGTCCCGTGTCCTCTGCCGTAGTATTTTTGATTTCCAGCATTGGACCATTGGCTGGCTATATTCCCAAACGTTTCGTTGGCATCGTAGTCGGCCTCGTCAGTGAGAGGAGCCATGGTAAGCACAGAATTGCAACTTATTAAAGTGACAAGTGAAGGAAATTCGTCACAACCAATTTTATGTTAAACAGTTTATTTTCGTTTATCCGTAGCTTCTTCAGACTATTGCAGTCTTCTCCTGTTTGGATGACACTAACCTCTGGGACGCAAGGCTTTGTATAATTCAATCAAGATGTAAGGTGTATTCAACTGATTTTGGAAAAATTCAACTACCAGTA